CCAGATCGTTTTCCTCGGAGATATTTCGAAAGTGGGCATTTGTCACTGTTGACACGTGATATTTCACAGCACAATTCGTTGTTAGTAAATAATATCCTGAGCAATGCTCGACAACACACGTGCCTCATCACTACGAATGCCTCTATTTACGTAATGCATACAGTGGCGCACTTACGAAAATATGGTTGCACATGTCGCGTTGTAATGGGATATACGCGGGCGGTCCAACGCGGTAGCGGAATCGGCATCGAATATTAATGAGAGCGCTTCGCCATATCGAGTCGTTGAAAACCACAATGTGTACACTCTGCGCACGAGATTTCGCGACGGCGACGGTGAAATCACTTTATCGAATGGCCTTTGTCGCATTCTCGCGACCCAGGTGCGTCCTCAATCCACCCTCGATTCACCCTCGATTTTGCCGTCCGTCGTCGCAGCGATAACCTTACACAGACGATAACAATTCACTTTGTTATAACGGACCGCATCTCTCTCTCTCTCTCTCTCTCTCTCTTTCATTTTTCTCTCTCACTCTGCTCTCTCTCTCATCCTTTCTTCGTTTTCCCGTCCAGACGCGTTATTCCGCGCCGCAAAACACATTCTTTCTTCGCTGTGACCCCGCGGAAAGAGAGAGACAGATAATACGCATCGGTATCAGTGAACGAGGTATTACCTCTACTTCATCCTTTTCATCTCAGTAGGAAATAACGTGCGTATGCTCTGGGCATGACCTACTTCAACGCTTTTCCCATTTGCTCTTTCGTTTGTTCTTCTGAGAGAGAGAGAGAGAGAGAGAGAGAGAGAGAGAGAGAGAGAGAGAGAGAGAGATTGATTTTCAAAACAAACTCTCGGATCTGACGTTTGCGCACTTTAACGTCGGCGCTGCAACTTTCTTATGCAGTAACAATACAATTTGTACCATGGTGGCTAGTACGCTGCGGGAAATGTGTGTGCTTGACATATTAAGCGCGTGACGTCCATTTGCGACGATCTGCGCGAGAAAATGCGCGCGCTATTTACGCGTTATTTTGCTTGGAATGCGTGAATGTGCCAAAACAGTTTCGGCACAGTAATAACAGTATTACGACTGATCGATAAGTGAATAATTGGCCCCTTGAAGCGCACAATTATTTGTATCGGCAAAATTCCCCTTGTTGATAGATTTCCCTCGTTAAAAGATTCTCTTGTTCCCCTCCTTAAAAGTCTTGAAAAGATTTCTTATTGAAATGAAACCAATTCTTAATAGCTATATCAAGTTAGCCGATAGGAGATAATTTCGTACACTTGGCTGCTATATCGCCGATATCTCGACAGTAATCGGTAGATTTTTGGCTGGCTGCATTCGTCTCTAACTACGCGTTTCCCATGACTGTTGATCAATCAAAGGAGCGTATAATCAAAAGGTAGAGAAACAAAAGGTGGAGGGATAGATAAGTGAGAGATTAATATATAAAATTAATTTAAATAATTAATCGGAGAAAAAAATATATATGCATGTCGTCATAATTAACTCTTTTTATTGACACGTACGACATGTCAATCTGTCAAAATATCACTTCTGCTTTGAATACGTTCTCGCTTTTTCGATTAATAGTCGTGGAGAACGCGTAGCTAGAGATGAATGCGATCAGTCTTTACTACCCAGTCTTTACTAACGATATATCAGTGAGACAGCATCCATGAGACAAAGTGTACCTTTGACCGTTCCGTCAATGTCTACGAATTTGTTTTGCAGCGCGCGTCATGTGTTTGACAATATCTCAAGTTGACTTGTAGTCCATCACTGACGCAACCTCGGTCAGGGAGACGAAGAGAGTACATATTCTCAAACATATTCGCTCTGAAATATCCAATTTCTATCCCGTTGTGCTTCTGAGACGGCATATATACAGACTGCAATTTCCTTTGACCGTTCTTCCCGTAAATTACTTTACTCTCAACGTGAATTTCATCGCGCAAGTTTCTCTCACGTCCGCGCGCGACGCGGACGGGTCTTACTTGCATTTTTAGACGCGATCAGTCTAATTTGCGCGAGTAACTACATGGCTCTTAATTAAACTGCCATAAATTACAATCTGAAGTTGCGCGCTTGAGTCGAAAAACAAACTCGTCGCCGAGCTCCTTTCGCCTTGGCCTGACTTACTGACTTTTTTTTATACTTGCACGTTGTTATTCGCAAATTATATGTTTGAACTGCTGTGTAACACGACGCTCTCGTCCGACCATCACTTCTTATTAGCGTGTTGATTCCGCGTTAAGCGGATAATTCGATTATGCGTATAAACTATATTATCAATTCCAGAACAGTTTATATATAGAGGGTGTCTAAAAATTTCAAGCACAGCCTGCTGTAGAACTCAACAAACTTAACAAAAAAATCTTGTACCTCTTTGCAAATAATTGCATCGATATTTAAGTTGTAAATTAAAGAAGATTGTGGCGAATGCAGAATAGTTGTTTGAGAATTGATATTTGATCAAGAGACATTTGAATGAATTAAAAAGAGATTGCACACGATCCTCTTCGTCAATTTTCTTTAACTAATAACTACAAAATTGATGTGCCTATTTTGTAATCTTTTTTAATTAATCTTGAGATTTTCTTCAATTAATAACTGAAAATTTTTGATTGCTTGCAAAACGGTAGAGGACTTTTTGTTTAGTTTGATGATCTATTTGTACACTACGGCTGCGTTTTGAATTACCAGACACTCTGTATGTGTATAAAACATTAAATAAACAATGTCCACAGCAGCGAGTGGTGACATTACTGTTTTCGCTATTTTCTGTTCCTTCGAGGCGCACACATATATATTGATATTCCCATTCAATATATCAGCGATTATTCCTTGAATTCATTGGTCGACGAGGTCATAACGTTAAATGACCCATCCCGAGAGCATCCAGCGATTCACTTATTGAATAGGGAGGAGAAGCTGACGTTGGCTGAAAAAATAACGCGAACTGCTCGAAGTAACAGCTCGCAGAGAGAGAGAGAGAGAGAGAGAGAGAGAGAGAGAGAGAGAGAGAGAGAGAGAG